TGATCGCGTTATCATATTGTCAACGTAAAAGAATTTGAAGAATGCTATTGCTTTTTGTTACAATATACAATACATCACAGGCAATTGGCCTTCTAGAGCGTTGAAGAGCATTATTTCTGGAATAAAAAATGAAGTAATAGAAGAAACGCTAACATGCATTGAGAGTCGTCCTCGAAACATGGCCGCAACAGTGAGATATCTACCGTGACGTGGATCACACGCCGCCATCATATTCTTCGAGTCGAATAGCTGAATTTCGAAAAAAAAATCTCTCTTATGACTAAGACTTCCAAATGGAAAAATAACAGAGCGATACAACCCGATAAACCATCGAAATAAGGATACTTGAATCGCACGATCAGCTTTCCAGCAAAAAGTCACTGAATTAGACATAACAGCATCAATCTATATCACTGCTACAGCAGAACAGCTCAACTTATTCTTCAAGCATTTGCAATTTAGGTGCAATCAAGTAATGTAATGCTGTCATGAAATAACTGATTACTTGCTGAATTAGATCGTTGATCGATAGCGATCTATATGCAGCAGCACCGCGAGCTGTGAGCGGAGCGAATCCAGGCATGAAGAAGTGCAATCTGGGAAATGGAATCATGTTCACGGCCAGTTTTCGCAGGTCAGCATTCAACTGACCTGGGAAGCGTAAACACGTAGTGACCCCAGACATTGTCATCGATACTGAAAGCAAAATGTAGTAGTGAACAAAAATAAAATTTTACTTCTCTAAAGTCCAGAACATAGATCTGGAGATTCGAATCAGTAATGCAGCTTTCAAAAGAACAAACTGATGAAAGCACTAACCCAGATGATTTAGATCACCGTACGTTGGCGCATTCAGTTTCAGTGTGCGGAGACAAATATCGTAAAGTGCTTCGTTATCGATGCAGAACGTCTCCTCGGTATTCTCAACGAGTTGATGCACCGATAAAGTCGCATTGTACGGCTCAAGAATTACATCTGATACCTACAATTATAATCACATAATTACATCCAGCAATTATGTTCAAGGATGGTAGCAATCTTCCACTTATCATATTTCAACTGATGAAATCAAGTGACAACACCAGACAAGCTTAAACACTAGTTCTTGTGTCACCATTTCTCAGTAATGAAATAGGGCAATTTAAAAGTCTCTATTCGCTACTAATCGCTTGATTTGCATGTGAGTAAAACCGTAACCGGTCAATCTGCCTAAAGACATTTTG